GAATTTGGTGGTATTAAAATTAAGATGAACTATATAATGTAGATTAAAAATACATTGACCACTTCTTTTTGTTTTCATATTTAGTTGAATAAATCTTTTTAATATGTTATCATATTTGCACGTGTCATTAATATTTGGATATTAATACACTTTCTACAAGTTAGCAATACTTAAAAGTCAGTTGAACTAAGTGATTGGTTTTCTTTGGATACGTACGTCTGGAATACAATTTTACTTCAACACAAAGTTATATTCTGAAACATAAACAATTAAAATTTAACATACAACGAAAAGAATAACAGGCATGAGAGTTTTGATAAGAGGCAACTTGTAATTTATCATAGAGTGAAAGATAAAACTTATTGAGAAATAGCATAGTTATTAACAACGAAGAAAAATATTCTTATTATTCTTAATTCTTTATTTTTTATAAAATGTCCAAGCATGAATGTGACGTGAAAATGTGATAGCCATTTTAAAATGTATTAAATTGAAATGTTATAGTTAAAAAGAAATTTATATAAGATATATAATGTATAAGAGTTTATACATCTTCAATTTACAATAAATCATACATATTATTGTAAAAGAAGCAGTACAATATATAAATCATTCCTTCCTGTATACAATAAGAAATACAAAAGTACTACAGTGTCCAAATGTTAATACGACCAACGGTATATTTAAGGTATAGTTTCATTAAGCATCATTTGTATTACTGGGTGTAACAAATTTTATCCATTTACTTTTGCATATGAAAGTTTTTCCATTCTCAATTGAACGATCAGTATTGGGACATCCTATACATATACACAATTATATTAATAAATTACTCACACTTTGCTCCTATAATTAAATATAGGAAACTCTATAATGTCTTAATGCGCTCCTATATTTAAATCCCGATCAAGTAAGAAATTTTATAATGGTAAAATGAGAAAAATGATTTCATTGTCTTCCTTTGAGTATCTGTAATGGCATACAGTTTCTAAGGGTTGAAGTCTAACAGGGGCTGAAAAGGAACAAGAAAGAAGCGGCTTCCAGGACAGAAGGCAAGCTTTTTGCCTGCACGGATGTCGACGAGTGCTCCCGCATCCGCTGGTATGGAGGGAACGGGACGGTAGCTTCTACATATTTGATGCGATTTTAATGTCTCTGCCCGGCATATCCGCGTCCTGTGCACCAATAGCACCAGAAACACCATGTTGCCGCACCAGACACGAATGACTGCCGTGATGCTCTAATCGGCTTACGCAACAAGCCCCCTTATCCCTAGTTCCCATCACAGCCCACAGTACGCTCACCTCATCCACCGAACATCTTCTAGCCAGACCACCATCTTCAACAACGTCAACTGTTACTCTGCGGTTGGATGTTACTTTGCTACCTACGATCTTCCTTCCTGTCTACTTTCTGTCCATTTAAATATATATGTATGCAACCTGTTGTTTTCTTTTTTTCCGAAAAAGCCGTTGATGTTTTATCGTGGCTAAACCTAGCATTTCCTTCTCCATTAGATTTTTCTTTTTGCGACGCCTTTAATGGGAATTATGCTCACAGAAATATTAAGTTGCTCATTATAACATAGAGAATTTTTATTAAAAGATAGAGAACTTAAAAAAAAATTATGAGAATAAAATAATGCCTAATTAGTGGAAATATTATGAATATTATTTAATGAGTTTTTTCTATTTTTTAGCAACATAACGTAATCGCTGCTGCGTAGACCACTGATGATGTGCGACATTGACGGGATACATAGTTTTAATTAAATTTAAAAAGTTTCTTCTTGATTTCATCTAAAATTAGACTAACAATAAAGATGAATGAAATCGTAATTAATGTAATATATGCAAAATTTGCTTGTAATTAAACCATCCAATATTCTTTTTCTATTTAGTTTTACATCATTTATAGCAAAATTTCATATATTACTTAACGTATTAAATCTTTAATAATGTAGTATGAATGTGGTTTTGTAATAATAAAACATGAGCAAACCACGTTTCAAACTCGTAAGAAACAAGTTCGATGCGAATAGACTGAAAGTATAGGAAAATTGTTGAACTACTTACTGGACGCGATGTCTAAAAACGGATAGTTTCGAAGTTAAAAAAATTCAAGTATTAGAAAAAATAAACTTATGTCTCAATCGTTTTTATCCATTGATGGTGATACCATAGTAATCTCGATTTTTGCCAACAAGCAAACTGCTTATAGACTGAAGCAGACAATCTGAAGAGACAATCTGAAATTCTTAGAAATTTAGAAATATCATTAAAACAATTAATTCATTTAAACAATACTTAATGCATTGCGACTTTCGATTAAATACAATGATATGATGAAATTATCCATGACGACGATTGTTTTATGGTTCATTCACATATGTGTGTACATATGCGCGCACGCATGTCTAATGTACCCGTACGCGTGTTTGTGCATTATATGACTCTAAAAAGAATTTATTGATTAGTAAAATATATATATGTACCCATTCTATACATACGTATGTTTCCGTTATTGAATTTTTTATATGCGTTCGCGGATCGGTATATTGTGATCGAATTTCTCTGTGGTGTATCGTGCTCTTCTCGATTTTTCTTGAAGACAGCAGGACAGTTACTCCCAATGTGGCGGGTGAACTCGATTATGTATGAGATAGGTTGATTGATTAACATTGTATATAACTTGCTGATTGATTTCATTTCGCATTAGGTTATACTAGGTTTTAAAATAACTTGGTTGAGTGTTGAATCAATTCTGATATTTTTACATTTTTGTACATATGCGGTAAAAATTAAAATATTGCGGTTAAAATTTGAAAATATTCATGTGGTCCAATAATTAAACAATATTCATGAGTTATTCGTCTGCCCAATTATTAATGTTTTCTTAAATATTAAATACAGGGTGTTACCTTTCGGGACAAAGCACCCGCTCACACGGCACTATCTGTCAAGCAGTTTCTGACCAGCAAAATTATTATTGTGATAGGGAATCCTCCTTATTCACCTGATTTGGCTCCATGCGACTTTTTTTTATTTCCTAACGTTAATTTTGGAAGGGACTTCCAAAAACCTCGTTCCAGAATTGTTACCAGCAATGGCAGCGCCGAATGCAGAAGTGTGTAAATGCTGAAGGGGTCTACTTTGATGGTGATAATGTCACGGAGAACTGATTCTAAAGATACAATGATTTATTGGACTAATCTCGTTTTTTTTGTGTTACAACTCGTACATCATTCCACAGCAATTCTACTTTCTCATTCGCATACAATAAAAAAGAGAGATATGCTGAGAATTGTCTTCACTCTTATACCGATAGCCTTAACGTGACATTATTGAAATATAATCATGGTAAGTTCTTAAGATTTGGACTCCGAAACATTGTATCTTAACTGCGACGAAAATAGAAAGAAAAGACATGTTGAAATATAACGTAATGTTATTGTTATATTTCTTTTCTTTTATTCGTGGAAAATCTTTATTGTGTGATTAATAGAATATAATAATGTAAAATAAATGAATTTTAAAGTCCATTGACTGAAACTAACTATGCCAACAACCACCTTTGAGAAAACTCTGCTATCTCCGTGGATGCTGCAACCCACACTTTAGAAATTATTGTTTTATATTGTATTCTGATATATGTCAGTAATAGAATACAGTCTACAATAATATACCCTCTACTGGCACTAGTTTTCTTTTTTATAAGTATGCAAATTGTAGCAAGCAATTGATTGACAAGTTCTTTTGCCAATAGTTCTGATTTAATGACTGAATAAAACTGCATAACTCAACAAGTATGACTAAATAAAATAGTTACTTAAGTCCATGTAAAATGATTACTTGTATTTTTTATTTGTAATAATATGTATACAAGCTATACAATAAATTGTGTGATTTTTGTTTAAAAAAATACCTCTCCTACAGAGAAAATATGGCTACTACATTGTCACGTGTTTGTTTAAGCACATTTTGATTTAAACAACTTAAAATTATTTAACATAATATTAAATTTATAAATTGGATTGTTTTTATAAAGTAAATGATCGAATAAAACAAAATATAAACAGAAAAATACATGCTATCATTTAACTACATAAAAGATAAATAAAAACAAATTAATACGAATCATTTATCATTTCTTTGTTGTAAGGTTAAAACTCAATATAAATCTTAAAATAATCACAAAAAATTATCAAAATCACCAAAAATAATCGCAAACAACTGTTAGTTGCAGGTCTATTTTATAAACTGTCTGCAATTACGTATTTAGAATATGCTTCAGCATAAAACACAAAATAATCGAATCAATTGCATGGAGTTAACTATTGCTGAAATCGTTTCTCGACGGGTGCATTTTATACTTTTATAACTTTATTTTGAAAAATATTAATTTCATCAAGAATTGTTAACAAAACAGTTGCATATCAATTGTCAAGTCAATTTTTATACGACATTTATTTCTTCCAATTTCTCAAGAGAAAGTAAAACTTACTTATTAACAATTGCTTAGAAAATTTTAATTCTTCTAACTACAGATTATTTACAGATGAAAATATCATTAAGTTCTATCTATTTTTATTATTATCTTCATTTTTTGAAAATTGCGGTTTCAAAATTAATGGGTCATATATTTATAAATATTGGAGATAAATGCGATATAAGAGCGATACACGAATTAGCTGTGGCGACTGTACCGACAGCGACACATGCGCCTGACTGTACCGACAGCGTCACATGCGCCCTCTGGACAGTTCCTATTTTTAGTTACTTTTTATTTCTTAGGTTAAGTTGTAAATAGTAGTTGGTAAGACTAGTTTATAAGGAACGCGGCGCGAAAAAGAAGAACGTCGTTCTTCCACTTCTTGTACGAAAGAAAAAGAGTCAGCACGTGCGCGTCTTAATAAAAAGTACAATCCTTGCAAATAGCGAGAAAAGTCGTCGTACGTCATTTCCTACACCGGGCTCTCCTTCACGAACCTCAGTCCCCACATAATTGGTGCCGAAACTGGTGAATTTTCATAAAAGGAGAGAAAAAATGAGTACGGAAGGAAGTGCAACCGACGCTCCGGTGGACGCCATGCGGCATGAGATACAGGCAAGTGAATTTCGGAACGTAAAGCTTCCTGCGTTCTGGAAAGAAGAACCGCGCTTGTGGTTTATCATGCTAGAAAGAGAGTTCGCAGCATACGGCGTGCGAGCCGATGCTGTAAAAAGCTCCGCGGTAGTCCGAAGCCTGGACCAGGACACGATGAAAATCGTACTAGATATAATAGAACGTAAAGCTTCCTGCGTTCTGGAAAGAAGAACCGCGCTTGTGGTTTATCATGCTAGAAAGAGAGTTCGCAGCATACGGCGTGCGAGCCGATGCTGTAAAAAGCTCCGCGGTAGTCCGAAGTTTAGATCAGGACACGATGAAGATCGTACTAGATGTAATAGAGGCCCCGCCGGATAAAAGTACATATAATGACATAAAACGCGCATTGATAGAAAGGCTAGCCAGGTCGGACGAAGCCAACTTAAGACATCTCCTATCTGGCCTTAAACTGGGTAACAGAAGACCGTCCGAGCTCTTAAGGGAGATGAGCCAGCTCGCGGTGGCGAACGTTGGGGAGAGCGCACTCCGCGCGCTGTGGATCCAGCGGCTTCCGGGCAGGGTGCAGGAGATCCTGTCTATAATCGATGATGCGGACCTGCAAAGATTGGCGAAAGTCGCCGATAAAACAATGGAGCGTTCGGCAGCCGAGGTGTCGGCCATTGCCGATTTCACCCACGCCAAACGGGACACAATGGCGGACGCAACGCGGGACGACAGGCCCGGACACCAAGATGGCGAATTGGCGGCAATCGCGAGGCGATTGTCTCGGGTGGAGATCGAGCTAACCAGGAGAAACCGCAATCGCAGCAAACAGCGTTTCTACATAGCATTAACATTTGTCTCCATCTAGCGATGTTAATCATCATTGTTCGTTCCTTCTTGTGTTCGCATGTTTCGATTCAATTTTGTTCTCTAATATTTTTCTCACGTAATTCTGATTGTATTTTATATCGTTCTTAAATAAATAATTTTTGTGCTTTGTATATAATTAATTGCGACACTATTCGTCTACGGATCTCCTCGCCTTCAACAATAAAGTCCATTTTCAAAAAAAAAATGAAGATAATGATAACAATGGATAGAACTTAATTACATTTTCATCTGTAAGTAATCTACATTATAGTCAGAAGAATTATATTGATGATTAACGGTATTAGAAAGATATTCTTTTTGAAAATAGTGAAAATCCACCTTGGGTTAAGATTATTTTTAACCAAATATATTACGTTACAATTTATCTCCGGTAAATGTTAGTAATACTGTTAATACTGTGAAAAGGTACAAATTGTTTAACATTGGTGGTATAGGTCATAGGTAACCTCACTATAAGTGAGGATGTAAATTATAGCTCGGTTTCTAATAAATATTCGACAAAGGCATAGTTCTTGTTTTAATATTGCTGTACAAAGCCCCTTACTAATTTTACTGTTATTTAGAAATTAATGACGTATTATTGTTTATTTTACTAAAAAGAATATGACCAACGAAAATTATAACTGATAAAACTGTGAAAGTGAAACTAATAGGCAGTAATAAGAAAATAAAAATACTCTTCTGGGTATTACCCTACTCCACTAAAATCCTTATTTCCAAGGAATTTTATTTTTATTACAAGTAAGACACATGAAAATTGATAATAACAGAAAAATATTGAGGTCTGGATCTGAATACATGAAAATCCGGACCAACATGGTTCAAAGAAGTCGAAAAAAGAATAACTAAACAATTGAAATATTACCCATTTAATTCGTGATTATAATAGTTGATTAATTTTGAGAATGTGGCATTTGGGTACAATAATATCTTTATTTTTTAGCCAGTACTTTAAATACAATTGGCTGGTAAACATAAATTATCTAACACCACAAAATACAAAAAGTTCATCTAAAAAATAATAGTAATAATAATGATAATAACAAATTTTGAAATTTGTGAAATTGTTTTTTAAATAATTTATTTTGTCGTTAGTAAAAGAGCAATAATATTCTAATCGTATCCTAATTTTATATAATTATTCTCTACATAGGAAAATGAAATAGTTTGATATTCAGTTTATAGAAAAAAAATAAAAATTTTTTAAAAATTGTTTTAGCCTTTAAATCGTCAAAAATGCTTATCTTAAATATTGTTTTACATTTAAAAGGGACCTTTTTTCAAAGTTTTGCCGTAAATTGGGCAATGAATATTACCGGAAGTTTCACTATGTTATTTATTTATTTATGAAAATACTTAATTTGATTATTTCGGTACTTATAATCTTGAAAAAAATGCGCTATTCATATATGTATGTTGAAATGAACCGATTTAAACAGACTGTATGTTCGATGCTGCACACGAAAATTGCCCTAGGCGAGGGCGCGCATTATTGGGTAGAATTACATTAAACAAACGGTCCATACATCGGCCAGTTCCTCTTTATCAATGTTTTTTTTTTCAAGCCAAAAGCTACGCGGATAGATCACTTCGATAAATATTAAACAATTAAAATTTATTTTAGTATAAGTAATTTATTTATAATTTGTTTAACAACAATAAATTTGTACAATGGTTTTTTGTAATCTATAACAATTTAAAACTAATATAATAAAAGTAGTTGTAAACTTAAAATAATTGTTTTATTATACAAACACTTTTCAACTGTTCTGTAACAATATGTCGTCTCTAGGAATAATATTATCTTTCTTATAAAAATAGTTTTTACTTTCTAAAAAAATAAATAAAGTTTTTATCTCGAAAATATGTGCCATTAATATCGTCCATAAAAAATTTGTTGTATCTAAGAGCATCTGTTTAGCTAAATAAAATCAGTCCTTCTCTGAAAACATTTAAAATCCATTTAGAATTATATTAGATATTGTAACTAAACTTTTATTTGTATAATAGTCGTGTTTTTTGTTCAGCAAAAAAAATAATTAATATATAATTGTAAGAATGTAGTAATATAATTACAGCTGTATATTAAAGGAAATTCTATCATGCAAGAAGACACCGCAACCTCCGAAACACCGATTTCATTTGAACTACCTACAGTCATAGAGTATAGTCGAAGTTATTATGTATTTTGCTAAACCATACCAACTCTCTAAAGGAAGAAAGAAATTTATGTTTAATTTTATATTTATTAAACTAAAGAGAGATCGAGACCCGCAAAACATCTTTTCTTATTTTTTTATACCCCGAATTGTTTTGCTGTAACTAATCAAAAAAAAATTTGAACATTTACAAACATTTTCTACAGAATAAAAAGAAATTTATTTTTAAAAAATTTCGAACAGTTAAATACAAATTACAAAAACTTTTAACGTAATTACTCCCTTATTTTATAGTTACATATTATGGTTTTGCAAAATTTTTACCTTTAGTGTTCTCTATAAGTATGCAAAGTTTGTGCAAAATCGATTTGCCAACTATCGCGATATCTGCTTGCTAGCCTTTTTTCAATTTATTTACCCTCATGCAATACTTACTGCTTGTGATTTTATGTACAAACTGGCATTAACTGTACAATTTATGTATTTTTTCTCGCTTTAGAAGATTTTGGTTGAATTTTTGATGCTGTTAAACTATCTTCTTCTGCAGATGGATCTATGTGGGTGAAGACAAAATTTTTCGTGTTTAAAGATGGTAAAGTTGTTTCCTTTTGTCTAGCTAATGCAGCCAAACGTGCCAATGATTGTTCTCCTTTTGCAAGAAACGAGCGTTTCTGAAGAACACTCTAAAAATTCAAAACGTGTTATTCATTAAATGTCATATAATTATACAACATTCAATTAACTTATACTTTAAATAACTTACATGTATCACGCGCGAACCTCCTTCTAATTTTGTATTGTTCAACATTTCTGCCACAGTATGGGGTATCCTCGATTTCATTTTGTAATCATGATCTATTAATGTATTTTCTGTATCAGTTACATTAATTTTTCTTTTCTTTAAAATCTTCATTCCAAATTTAAATACTTCACTTTTATTTAAATCTTCTTCAATTTCTGCATCTATAGTCCCCTGCAAACAACTTATGAGAAATAAAAAAATACATATACGAAATATACTTTCAGTTTCATTCAAATTTGTTTTACCACTTTTTCTGCTAAGAATTTTTCTCTTTCATGTTTTATTTTACGCCAATTGGCTTCTTCTTCATCATCCGATATATCTACCCAACCGTCTTTGTCTTGTAATATTGGAGAATCATCGTTGTTGTCTTGCTTATCTGAAATAAAATAATTTACAATTATTTTAATTACTGATATCATTGCAACTGATATTGATATCAATTAATACAAAAAAAGTAATAAACAATAAATAAGCGATATATTAAAGAAGCATTCTAATTTTAAGGTTTGAAAATGGCGGTTATTTTTTATATTTTAAAAACAAGAATCTTCCAAGAAATATCTTGAATGTTACAGTCTTTTCATGTGGAGATTAACGCTAGTTAATAATATAATAATAATACTAACACCGTTTTTTTCTGCCACTGGCACATTTAATGACAAATCACACAAATTATAGAAATCGTATATAAGTAACATGATGTACTCATCTTCATTGCTAATCATTATAAAACGACCATTAAAAAAAGAGGGTTGAAATATCGACTGTAGATAAATATAAGCTAACTGAAGATCTATTGTAGATGCGTACACATAGACCAGCTACTATCAATTAGTGATAAATACATTTTCAATATAAAAATCTAATACCTAAACTTTAAACGTAATGTTGTTGAAACATCCTTTTGAGATGTAGGTACGAACAAAAAAACTAACCAACCAATCAGTATGCAGTTTTACCTCTTGTCGGTAATCGATGCATTTTTCTTATTAAAAATGTCATATTTAACACTGAAAAATTAACGAAAATACATTGAATTTCGATATTTACTTTTCAATGCCAGCCACTTTTTTAATTTTTCATTTACACGTTTGAATTCAATGTAATATATAACGGCACGTATAATGATTTCTTTTATATGAAATAAATCTACCAATTAGAATCATCTGACCTAACAAGGAATCACTTTTCAGAAATGGCAACTTTATTTTAAAATACTATACTAAATAAAAGATAAACTTCGAAAGTACCCCATGAAGAAATTAAATTCCTGTTCATTATAAGCACGAAGAATAACAATTTTAAATGTGGTTAAAGTTTTCGGCCTTAGAGTTAGAATGTCCCTTTGATAACAAAATTTTTAAATTAGTCTTATCATACCTATGTTTCTCCATTTAAATTTTCGTTCTCGTGTACTTTCACTGAATAAATCTCCATCTTCAAAAAGTAATTCTTTGAGCATTCTTACTTCCTTCTGATCTTCATGCAGTATTTGTTTCACATGCAGTTGCTCTAATTGATCTTTTACTTTTGATTCATCGATTTCTTCATCATCTGCTTCTTCTAATTCCAGTTTGTCCAATTCTTCTTCATCCTCATCAGCAGATACGTCACAATCACTTTCGCTGAGTTCAGCTTCTTCTTCCAAAAATTTAGTTGCATATTGCTTTATGTTTTTTTTCGAAACAACAACTTCGTTTTCCTCCGAATCATAATCTATATATTTATCTTGATCGGCATCTTCTTTTTCTACTTCATCACTGGACTCTGCACAACTCCTTTCACTTTCATCATCAGACAAATCTAATTTTTTCACTTTTTTCTTTGATCGATTATTTATTTCGTCTTCTGCAATATCTTCTTCATCAGAAGATACAATCTTTAACTTATTCCAAGATGCTATATCTTTGCTAAATTGCTGTTTTTCAGTATATATATCTTTCGCGCGTTGAGACTCTTTTTCAGAAGATATTTGACAACTTTGTGATATCTCGCCTAAAAATTCATTTGTTGATTGTTTAAGATCATTTACTTGAGAACTAAATGTTCCTGAACATAAATCTAACAATTGTGATTCGGTTACACTAGGTTCCTTTGATAAATTGAGTTTATTTTGAGTTAATTCTTCATCTAACAGTTTCGTTTGATCAACAAACAATTTTCTTTGTGGTAATGCTTGTTTCTTATCAAACAATTGTTGAGATGATTCCTGAGATAGTGTATATCCATTTAATATGAGATCAATTTTTCTAATAGGCGACTGTTTTTTAATTTCAGGTGATTCTTCTTCTGATTCTATATGCTCATTTAATGCTGTCAATTGGGTCACGGGAGAAACGAAGTCAAAGTAGTTTGTTTTAATTTGTGGCGTTTGACATTTTAAATCATTTTCCATGTGACCTTGAGAAACCTGAATGTCACTTTCATCATCACAAGACTGTACATTGTCATTAGCATCCATGTTAAATATATCTGTTTTTATTATTTGAGAAAAGGAAGCCTTTTTGTTTTCATTCGTTGTATTTTCAATACTTTCGGTATTTGAAGATCTGGAATCATCTTCTAAAGATTCCACGATTCGTTTAAATGTTTTACATTTTAAACCTTCATCATTACTGTCACAAATATTATTAGCTTCATCTTTTTCATCTTCTGACTGTTCCAATATTTCATCCTCATTTTCTTCTTCATCTTCTACTTCATCGCTATCGCTTATCTCATCAGTACTAACGTCAGCTTCATCGTCTATATAAGCACTTTTCTTTTTCTTCTTTTCTTTCTTTATACATACATCATTTTCTTCTAATTCATCTTCATCAGATCTATCAGATTCTATACTTGGCGAACATGGATCATTTAAATGTTCTTCTTCAATTATAGACTCATCCCATTCTATTTCTTGTTCTTTCATTTCTTGCTCTCTTTGTTTCCATTCCTCGTCACGTTTAAGTGCCATTTTATGTTTCAATTCCTCCTTTAAACGTACCAATTTAGCTCCAGGGTTTTTTAATTTAGGATCTTCATTCGCTACAGTTGATACTTTATATGGAAGTGTTTCTTTAACAACTGATACTCCATTTGGAGATTCTATTATATGAGTTGCTGTAACATTAGATGTGTCATTGATGTATTTCTTGTTTTTAGAATGCTTATTCATAAATCGTTCAATCAAAGCACTTATTCCATCTTTATTTGTCTTAACATCATCTGATAAATCAATCATTGTACCTGGAGTTCCTTTTAATTTAGGTTTTAAATTTTTTAAATTCAATAAACTTTTCTTTTCATTAATATTTGGTGAATCATTGAACTTGGGCGGTGGTAAACCATATTCATTGTATTCATCCAATTCGTTTACATTTAATCCCAAAGATTGCTTTACAAGATTGGCATAATCGTTATTAATTTTTGGTACAGTAGGTTCTAAAGATTCGATTGAAGCTTCAATATTAGTTTTTTCATTGTCACTGCATGTATTCTGTTTTTTGCTTTCATTTTCCACGATTTCAGTAACATCTTTTGATAATAAAGCAGAATTTATTTCATCATTCTCAAATTTTTCAAATGACTGTACCATTTCTAATTTCGACATTTCATTTATATTTTCTGCGTCAATAGCATCACAATGAACCTCTACTATCATTGAATCATTTACACTTTGTATTCCATTGTCCTCTATTACTTTGTTATCTTCATTTTCTTTTGTTTCAATTGAAGTTTCGTGTAGTTCTTGTGTTTTTTGCACTTCATTAGCAGTATCTTGTTCTCTAGTATTGTTTACAAGTAAGTTGTTACCAGTAAACAATTTACGTGATATATTGTTATTTTTAAATTCTTGCTTAGATTCTAAATTTTCTTTATCTGATGAATGACTTTCTACAATTTCATCTTCTGAATCTGAAGATTTATAGAATATTTCTGCTTCCTTTTCTTTCTCTTTTAGAACTTCACTATTTAACAAATAAATTACAAAATGCATTAATTCATATTATATCTAACTACATTTATTACCAATATATTTAATTTATAATATTACTTACTCAACAATAGCAGAAGACATTTTTAATTTAGCTGCCATTGTAGGTGCTTTTGGAAGTACTGTCATTATTTTTTTTCTGCTTAGAAAGTCTTGTAATGATCGTTGCTTTGGTCTATGATAAGGTAAAGAAACTTCTGTTTCTCTTATTAAACGTTGAGTTTCAATTTGTATTTGTTTCATGGCTTCCATTTTAGAGGCTCTTAATGAAACCTGTAATAAAAAGTATCTTTATTTATAATACATATTATAAAAATCATATATAAGATTTTAAATAAAATTTCTTAATAACTCACCTTTTTCATTTTAGATTTAGAATTTTTTTCATCTTGTTTCTTAACTTTCTTATTTCTTATAGGACTTGGATCCTTCTTATGATTATCTTTCTCTTCATCTGTTTCCGAGTCCAAGTCTATTAAACTTTGAAACCTATTTTGTATCTATAAAAATCAATAGAAATAATTATTTTAATAACTACATTGCTTATATACAATCTAAACTTACTACCTACATCATTTGAAATTTTTTTCTTGGGTGATATTACTTCTTCATTATCATTATCATTAATAATATCAGTATTCTTTTTCTTATTTAAACGTATTTTACATTTATTATTTTGATTAGAATTAAACATTTCATCCTCTGAACTGTCATAAATAGCTTTCGTACTTTTTGATTTAGAAATAAACATGTTTTCATCTTCTGAATCACTATCTACTATTGTCGAAAGCTTTGTGTGAATACCATTTTCTTTAATAATCTCTTGTTTATCTTTACTTTCCAACAATTTATCGGACGTATTAGTTTCAATTTCATCATCTGAATGATTTTTAGATTCTGAGGATTTGTAAATATCCTGCTCTGTAATTTGATCTGATTTCTCCATGGAATTTGTTCCTTTCAACTCTGATTGTACATGCTCATTATCCACTTCGTTTGCATTATTTAAATCATAATTATCCATTTTCCTTAAACTTAATCTCCTTTTGTCTTGATAAAATATTAATTTATGGTCGCACTTTTTTCTATATATATAAATCAAATTGCAACAAAAACAAATTTCAAATTCTAAAACTAATAACTTACAATACTGTATGCATCACTATTTTTAAGGTCATGAAAATTAAAATTAACACTGAATTGTTGATAATTTTTACACGATTATCAACTTAAAATAAAATTTATATTGTATATAAAATTGATATTTATAGAAAAATCTAACTACATCACATAACATATTAATTATTAAATGATCCCATGTATGTAAGTATTTAATAACAACTTTGGCGCGAAAGTGATTGAAGATTACATTTGCCTTTCAACTATTGGCAAATTCAAACTCCACCAGATGTCGCTGTTATCGCAATTGTAAATTATACCAAACTACTTACGTGATTAGTGAAGTAATGAAATTCACTAGATCGAACGGTGTGAAGTTAGTCGAATGTTCTCTGTCTACTTACTGGGGTTTTGCTTAGGAGAGACAAGGACGGTAAATAGGATGTTACGAGAAAACACGCATTCTCCCATCCCAAACGACTCTGCGAAGAAGTAATATTTCGACATGATTTCTTTTGCATACTACTCTCAGAGGTTTAATCTAGGTCGCTCTCGGGGCCGATTTTGGAAAAATGGGACGTGAAAAATTTTCTTCTATAAGAAATGTCAGTTTTCAGTGCATAAAATTGTTTTGGACAAAATTGCACGCGTACATCGATGACTTTACTCCAATAAGATATTGCAAGTAAATATAACTCAAATTACGTCATGTTTGGTCTCATTTTAATTAGGAAAATGTCACGAATATGATGGAGAAAGTTGTATAAAAAAATGGATGAAATATAAAACAGTTAGCAATGCTTAACATTGCAAACAATTGAACAGACTTTTGATCTTTGCCGACTGCCACGACCGCAGTGTCTCTTTCTTCTTCACTCGCTATCCTCCTCTACGTCAGAAACTTTTATCGTCAAATCTAAACCAGTAATTATGCTTCAAATTATATCGTGTTTGGTCTCATTTTAATTAGAACAACAAGACGAATACGATGATCAAAGTTTCATTCACGAAAAACCAAAAATAAAGAATTTTGATTTTTGAATGCAAAAGACAAAACATGCACGAGTCTTTCTTGTTTGCCGACCGATTCAACATTCTATTTGTCTTTCTTTTCCATTTGCCGATCTCTTTCACGTTAAAAATTTTAATCACCCGAAACACATTACATATTTCCTATACCTGACCTTTGAATATTTTTCTCTTGCAGGAATAGTATTAAAGCAATCACATAAATTATTTTTGTATATAACATTCTTTTATCATTAAGTCTGTATCTATTTTACAAAATATGTAGAGTTATGGCAATTATTACAAACAGTGCATTTTATTAAAAAAGTCTTTTTATTACGCATATGCTTTATTTATAAATTTTTGTCTCTTCTCTTTTTAATACAACTAACTATTTTGTCTCGTAGTAGCAATCGATTTTTCTCTCATATCTGCGTTATTTCTTCCGAGGAACGTGCAAATGTATATACATCTTATATTTCATGCGATACGGTATCTTCTTCGAATCAGTTTAGCATATATAATTTCAGACTAAATAATAAACAAATTATTCATAAATACTGCGCCGAACGTCCATCGCAGCCAAATTTTGAATCAGTTGTACGTGAAAAAATGACTAATTTGCTGAAAAAACAAACTAACAACCATAAACGGTTATTAAAAATATATTCTTTTATTTCCATAAAATTGCAAAAAAAAATTACATGTGCATACATCCGCATATAAAAATTTTTTAAAAATCGATGCCGCGGGCGCCCGCCGACCTTGCTACGGCACCATCGTTTCGCTGCGCGTGCCAGAGAACGAATTTTGCCTCGCCTCGTGAAAAGAAAGATACGTTGGAGAGACAAGGATCTATCTATCCTTGTCTATAGCTTCCCAGTTCGCCACCAGAGGTCCCCATTATCGTATTTTGGCTTTCTTGAAAATCATGGCATTACGCATAAAACTAAAACTTTGGTGTTTCCACCGTAAGAGCGCTCACCTCAACCCGACTCTAACCCGATTTGAACCCTCGGTGGAAACTCGGTCCATGTACGTTCACGTTACACTACCTAATTACGAGTCTAATGTCTTTCTGCGGACTGTTTCCACCTTCATGACCATGCACATGGTGCAACAAAATAAAAAATCGATAGGAACCAGTGGTGATATCAGAGAAGAACATGATAAAAAAATACGCTGGATATATATTTTTGGTATCATATTGTTACAAGAGCACATGCGCATCGTCATAGATTGCAGACAGCGCAGAAAGAACGGAAATTCATCATCTAGAAATACCACTCTCTTGTGGAACAGAAAATACATTACTATATAGATAGTCTTGGAAAAGTCAATAAAGTTACCTTACAAGATCTTTCATATTCTTGGTTACCAACTCTTGGTCGATAGATCAAATTGTCGACGTATTTTTGTGACAGTAGTGACTGTGAAGAGTCACGCTCAACAAAGTCGTTCTGTTTGTAGGTTGTTTAAATAATTTGTAGTACGTTTTTTAATACTGACAAATTTTAATTATTTTCGAAGTTATCTTTCAAGGTTTTTTGTTTTTTTTTTCAGATATGGTTACGATGGGCGAACCCCTCACTTTAGCAAATGGTACTTTTTTATATATAACCATTTTAATAAAATTATACAGTACTCTTTTTAATCATAAATTATATGTTAAAAAATATTAATAAGATAACACAATTATTACTTAGCAGTTTCGAAATAATCAATAAAAATGTTAAAAAATGTAAACTATTACGAAATTAGTTTTAAGGATGGATAAAATATACTATTTTCATTATTTGCAGATGTTAAGAGATCCATTGAATTACTAGACAAATTACAGAAAGGTAATTGATTAAATATTTTAATTTCAGTAATACATTTTATATGGCAAAATTATTATTTTAAATATTATGATAAAAGTTTCTTCTTTATGTAGATTTTCATAGTTTTCTTGGTTTGATTACTTATATGGAAATTAAGTACAGTATTTGTATCTAAATTTGATACTTATATATTTAAATTTTATTCCAGGTGGAGAAATACCTGCAACAAAATTAGCTGCCTTACAAAAAGTTTTACAAAGTGATTTCCTCAGTGCTGTACGTGAAGTATATGAACATGTATATGAAACTGTAGATATTCAGGTATTGTGTAATTAAATAAATGCATATATTGCATTAGCTTCATTAACGAATTATTAATATTAATAAATTTAAGGGTTCTCAAGATGTTCGTGCATCTGCCACTGCGAAAGCAACAGTTGCTGCTTTTGCAGCCAGTGAAGGACATGCACATCCACGGGTAGTAGAATTACCAAAAACTGAGGAAGGCCTTGGTTTTAATGTGATGGGAGGCAAGGAACAGAACTCACCCATATATATTTCACGAATTATCCCTGGGGGAGTTGCTGATCGACATGGTGGTTTGAAACGTGGTGATCAGCTTCTTTCAGTGAATGGAGTTGTTAGTTTTAATTTTGTATACTTTATTTAAATTTTATTTTGTTGTTATATTTACATAAATTTTTTGTAGTGTGTTGAAGGAGAAAATCATGAGAAAGCTGTAGAATTGTTAAAGCAGGCACAAAATTCTGTGAAATTAGTTGTGCGATATACTCCACGTGTTTTGGAAGAGATGGAATTACGATTTGATAAACAAAGAGCAGCACGAAGGCGTCAACACATGCAATAAAAACTAAAAATATTTATTTCATTGTATTTTTATCAGTGATCTTATCGCACGTATATTAATACTATTTTCATTTCTATTTTCCTTTTCATTATTCGTAATAACAAAAAACTTCAATTAAATAAAGAAATTCATGAGACTTAAGCTTTTTTTAATTTTATTGCTATTGCAATTGTTACTGCTTTTTATGTTTTAAAAGATATGTATGGATGTTATACAATTTTAAGAAATAAAGTTACCTAATAATACAATTTATTTTTTTATTTGTTAAAGAATTTAAACTTTTTTAGCGTATTATATGCAGATAAAAAATTAATCAATTTTTTTATAATTTTCATTTTCAAAAAAAAACTTGATTGCAAATATATGCATTCTCGAATAACTTTATTATCTATCTAAAATTGGACTTTGTATACGTATCCTTTTTCCTATAGACCTCTCTGTTTATAAAGATCATACATAAACTGCGCTTTTGACCGAAAAACTGTTAAAATTGAGAAAGAAAGCAGACTTCTATTCCTAATTTGACTTTGTCTAACTGTTCAGTTTGAAGTTTACATCTCCCTCTTCTTTCTTGTTGTATAAATATACTATGATGATCACTTTTTTCCATTACTCATCATTAAAAAGAACAAGATGCTTTTTCTATAGGGAACATTAAATTTGTGACATCTAGGTATAATATATCACAAATATATAGAAATATATTTGCATACTTCATTCTATGAAAGTGATCTTTCTCGATAGTTGACAAGTTTGCGTTTTGATGGACATGACATAATCTGATTGTACTACAATTTTTACTTCGTCAATCATGTACGTGATGGACTAGATGCATGACTGTACGAAAACAGATAAATACATATACAGGAAATATACACGATAAAGATACATATAACCTCTATGTCTTTTTAATTGAATCTGTAAATCACAATTTAATCAATTTCATTCAATCCCTAATAATGAAATTAACACTCCATCACCTTTTTTATTATTAACGATTTATAAAACTTTTTTCCCACTGGGTATATATGCTCAGCGTTACAGAAGTCGCAAAGGCGTTTTCGCATTGGTCTCAGTCTCAGTCGCCTCAGTTATAAAGCGCATTCGTACCAGTTAGCGCTGACATGCGTAGGGCAAATGAAAAGTGATTGGTAATAATTACGCTTTTTCGATAACGAAGTATAGAATAAAAAGTGAATATAAATGTTTGCACTGACTGTGCATATATAAATATGTGTATATAGATAAAATATGCACATTCATTGTGTTTTAATGAAACTCAGTGAACTTTAGACTACTTTTAATTTTGCTTGTTTAACGGGAAAGGCAGTATTGATATAAAACTTTTTATTAACAAAAAGATTGTAGTTAAAAATTTATTTTAAATCTAACACAATGAAGGGACCAGCAGAATTACGTTTTGATGGCAAAGTAGTTATAGTAACTGGAGCTGGAGCTGGTATGTAATACTTATTTTGTTCTCATATGAACTTATTGTTATACGAAATTTTCACTGTTTTAATTTTTACAGGTCTGGGCCGAGCATATGCATTACTCTTTGCTTCAAGAGGAGCTAGTGTTGTGGTAAATGATTTAGGTGGAGGAAGACATGGCGATGGAAGTAATACCAAGATTGCAGATGAAGTTGTCAAAGAAATTAAAAAAAATGGTACTATATTTTAAACATTTTTAATCGAGTATTAATGTTTAATTACACGTTTTGTAATTAAACTCTATTTTGCTACTTATAGATTTTCCTGTTTTTGAATATTTATGATGATGCATAATTTTTATATAATAATGACCGGGCACATTTAATTAACATATGAAGTGCATTACTGCAGGGTATCAAAGTTCATTCATTTTATAAATCTATTTCAGTAATTGATAACATCTTATAATCATAAATATCTTGTCACTATAAACTAAGTTTATTATTAAGGCATTTAAAACTTTGTTAATATTTCCAATAAAACTATTTATTTACTACTTATTTAATATAAATATTATCATATGTTTTAAAAACAAAATAATTTATACATGTTTACACTGTAAGGGATGTATTATAAGTATTTACTACAATCAGGAATATACTTTATGTTCATTTTATAATTTTATAACTATTTTATTTATGTGCAATATTATGTAATATGTTTATAAAACATTTTTTATAAAACAGTAAATTATTTGTTTACAATTCGAAATGATGTTTTAGGTGGGAAAGCAGTTGCAAATTATGACTCAGTACTTGAAGGTGCAAAAATTGTTAAAACAGCTATTGATGCATTTGGGCGAGTAGATGTACTTGTTAACAATGCTGGAATTTTAAGAGATAAATCGTTTGCTAAAATGTCAGAGACAGATTGGGGTGTGTATAATATATCAATAAAATACTTTTTAGTTATTATTCTCCAAATGTAAAAGATATCATTATTTATAATTTATTACAGATTTAGTACAAAATGTACATCTAAAAGGTGCTTTTAAAACCACTCAAGCTGCTTGGCCATATTTTTCTAAACAAAATTATGGTCGAATAATAATGACAGCAAGTAATAGTGGATTATATGGAAACTTTGGTCAGGCCAATTACAGTTCAGCAAAAATGGGTCTTATTGGTTTGTCTAATACATTATCTATTGAAGGCAGGAAGAGAAACATACATACTAATGTAATAATTCCAACGGCTGCTTCTCGTTTAACGGAAGACATTTTGCCATCAGGTTAGAATCATAGTTATATTGTTAAATAAATATTGATAATTCCTCCAACATATATCCTGTTACCTGAAAATATTCACTGATTAGACAAGGATAGCAATCTTTAATGCTAATCAATTCTTACATTATTAACATGCTGTTGACCTTTGACACATAAGATAAGCTATTATACAAGTGTGCTTTGATAGAGGCACTAAACATGCTATATATGCTAAATAGTTTTTAAACTTTTGAAGTTTCTCTTTGATATTTGATATATTAACTACATACTAGTTTTATCCACTTTTTATAGATTTCTTTCAACATCTAAAACCTGAATTAATAGCACCAGTAGTAGTTTGGCTGTGCCATGAGAAATGTACAGAAAATGGTTCAATTATTGAGTCTGCACTAGGTTGGGCTGGAAAATGTAAGTATGAAAAATATAGTAAAATGGATAAGAACGCATATTGTATTTTTTATTTATTGATATTGTTTTCTTAGGTCATGTGATTCGCTCATCAGGATCTACCCTGAGGCACAATTTATCGAGTGATGTAACTCCAGAAGACGTTGAAGAAAGATGGGAAACTATTACTGACATGTCATCTGCTAAACATTTTAATTCTATTCAAGTACATAACTAATTATGATTAAAATAATTTCGTTGTATAAAAATGTATTATATTATTACATTTCACAGGAGGTAACGGGACAGTTTATGACTAACATTGAAGAAATGAGTTCTGAAAATTCTATATCTAAGGTAACTATTGTTTTGTAATTTAAAATTGTATATTACTGTTTTTTACAATGAATGTTTGTTTCTTAGAACGACAATGTTTTTAAGCACACTTATAATCACCAGGATACTATATTATACGCTTTAGGAGGTATTTTGCAATTATTATAATTATTTTTATAAAATCTGTTATATAAAATTAATATATTAGAATCAAACTTTTCATTTTAGTTGGTGCTACCGTTCAAGAACTATCTGATTACCGTTATTTGTACGAAAATGATAGTAATTTTGTTGTATTACCTACATTTTATGTTCTACATGCTCCAATACACTGTATGACTTCTCCGATGCTGGAAAACAGTTTACCAAATTTTCAAATAGATCCAACAAAAGTAATATACTGGTCATTTACATTTTTAACTACTTTTTAAAATAATTCATTTATAGATTTATTATAATTTTAGATATTGCACGGGGAACAATATATTGAAGTCTACAAACAATTGCCGACAGAGGCTACAGTGGAAACGCATTTTAAGGTTGTGGACATACTTGATAAGGATAAGGGAGCTGTAATTGTGATACGCCGTATGAGAACATAATATCATTTTCTTGAACTATATATTCAAATGTAAAATGCAATAAAAATTTGATAATTTATTTTACAGACGAAACATTTGATACTGCCACTGGTGATAAATTAGCTATGGGACAAATGGCAGCATATATAATAGGTGCAGGCGGTTTTCAAGGAAAACGAACATCTTCAGAGAGTATACCAGTTATTAATCCTCCAAATCGAAAGCCTGATACATCTGTTACGCAACAGACTAGCTATGATCAAGTAAATAGCAATAATCCTTTCTTTCACAATACTTTGGAATTATTAGAACAAAATGTTGTTTGAAGAATCTTCCTTTAAATCTGCCATGGCATTAAATTTTCAAAAATAAGATATGACTTTATATTATCTGAAAAATACGTTCACTAATTACTAAATATTAAATTGAGTATTCATTGTTTGGTTTATAGGCTGCCTTATACAGATTAAGTGGAGATGCAAATCCTCTACATATTGATACAAATATAGCTGCAATGGCTGGTTACAAAAGACCTATTCTACATGGACTATGCTCTCTTGGATTTTCTGTTCGTCACGTTCTTCAAACATATGCAGATGGCGACCCAAGTTTATTCAAATCCGTAAAGGTACATTTATGCATAGTCATTTATTTTACTCTTCGCCTTGTAAAATCCAGTCACACTTGTGATGTACATTACAATTCAAATGTGACAAGCCTAAATTGTATTGCATCATGCTTGAGTTTTAAGTTTCATATTATATAATAATAATAATAAGAAAAAGAATATATATGTATATACATGTAGCAACATTTGTATGTAAGTACAAGTTGTTTCGGTATAGATTCAGTAAAGTTTTTCGATATAAACAACAAAATTATCCTCAGCATCAAGGAGTAAACCCTTTGAGATAAAGCTGTGTACAGACGAATGCACCGCAACTGCAACGCGGCATTACAAGGTGTGTGCATTGTTTCGGTTTTATCACGAACACATGCCGCACATGGAACGAACCAAAAATTTCGAACCATAGATGCGCAACATAACGAAACTGTGCTTATATCTATTGATGTAGTAGTAATCTCGGTTTACAATGAGTTAGAAGAGGCAAGAAAAAGAAGGAAACGCGATAAATCCGAAAAAACTATTCGCGCTGTGGCAACAAACCCCTTTCTGTTTGCGAAAAAGAATGACAGAAACTAATTCGCTGTGTGGCATTGCAGTATCACCGCGCGACACGTTTGCTCCTTGCCGCATGGCTGTCTTGTACCCAGCTTAACGTGATCTGGATTCAGGAATATCCATAAGAAAGTATCAATGCAGATGTAAACGTTTTTATTTTTTATTTTTCTGTTATAAAACTTTTACTAACATATTTAACATTTTCTTGATTAAAATAAGCAAACACGATATAATTTGGAAAATATTTACTTGTAATAACTTATATAAGCAAAACACTTGGAATTACAAATAAATATGTTTCGAATTTGGTATCATTTTAATCAGGAAAATATCAAAAATATCTTAGTAAAAGTTTCATAAGAAAAAACTAATAAATATAAATGTTTTATTCTTGCATTAGGATTGTCCACCCGATATGTTACTGTTTGTTCACATTCGGTCGTTCAAACGTTTCTTTCGCCCGCTGTCCATTCCTATGTTTGGCAAACACGAGTGAATATTCGAATAAACGAAGTTCGAACTCGAAAAATTCGTTTATATCTAAACATTATTGTAGTACAGTTAGATACAGATTGCTTAAAACGATAGCCGTGAATTTCTTCATGAAAAAATAATTCGAATGTATAAAGTTTGGAAATCTTCGTAAAAAAAATTATTTGCGGCAAACAAGATGATAACAATTCATTCCAAAGTTGGTTGTCTTATTTATATCGAAAAACACTGAATATGTATGTATTATCCTAAAAGTTACTTTTAATATTGTGTGTAATTGTTTCGATTATATTCACGTATTAACAATATTTTACAAGTATAATTACTGAATATTGCTTAGCAATGTTGTTCTTAAACAAAGAGGTATTATTGTATTTGAATTAATGTAAATTTTAATCGATTTAATTGCAGGTTCGTTTTGCGAAACCAGTTTATCCCGGGCAAGCATTGCGAACCGATATGTGGCAAGAAGGAAATCGAATTCATTTTCAAACATACACAGCAGAGAATAATGTACCAGTTTTAACAGGTAAATATATGAGTATTTACAAATATTAAATTTTGAATTCATGAAAATTTTAAATGCAATACAAAGTATAGTACGCTAACAAATTTAAACACAAACCTAAATACAGTGGATTCCGAATAATTGGCGTAGAAATTATTTGAAACAAATACTAAGGAATAGAAACAAAAATTATTTTTATTTTTACTTCGCTTATATCGAACATACAATTTACCTTTGTACAGTTTACCTTTGAAAATACAGTAAAGTTTGTTACAACGATTTAAGTTGTAGATACTTATCGAACATAGAAAAGGACAGCATGAATGAGAGAAAAAGGATTCAATAGTTAGAATCATTAAAAGCAGATAAGGTAACACGTATGAGTCGTGATTCATGTGCATAAGCGAGACAGAAAACGCAAGTGAGATAAAAAACGTGGCACGACGTGGCATTGACATCTTCTTACAACAGTTCTGGCAATAGCTTTTTGTTTATCAGCGTAAAAATGTTTTATTCGTATCAATCTGAGTTCCAATGTGCAATAAACATATTTACTTAGTTTTGTTTCAGTTAGTTAACAATTTTATTTATTGAAATTTGCTTTATTGAGAAAATTTTTATAATTGGGACAAATTAATGCGGTGTCAATAGTCTTAATTAATCAGAATCTACTTGAGATACAATTATAATGTTTTAAACTGTGGCTAATTGAAAAGTACTTTTGCATCCTTTTATATGTAGGTGGTTATGTCGATTTAAAAGATATCAAATCCAAACAAACAACAATGCCTTCACTAAATATTTCCTCTGACGATAATAATCTTGAAAGTGATGCAGTGTTTACTACAATTGCTGAATTTATAAAAAAGTATCCAGAAGAAGTAAAGAAAATCAATGGAATCTTTCTTTACAATATTTTAGTAAAAGGAAAGCCACAAGCAACATGGAGTAAGTACACCTGTATCTTGATTTATATTAAATTAAAATATAATTTACTATTTGCTTTTTATATATCTTAAAGCTTTGGATTTGAAAAAAGCTGAAATATATAGAGGAGAACCAAAATCGGGTAAACCCGATGCAACGCTTACCCTTGAAGATACGGACATGATTCAAATAGTATATAATTTTTTACATTAATCAACTTCTATATGCTTAAAATGTATGTTTCTACTATATTCATTACTTTTTTTGCAGGCTTTAGGAAAATTAAATCCACAAATGGCATTCATACAAAAAAAATTAAAAATTACAGGCAATATCATGCTTACACAAAAACTAAAATCACTTATGGAAGCTGGTAAATCGAAACTGTAATATTATACATTGTTAATTTGTTATATTAATATGTATATTTATTCATTTTTGTTATTCAGTATTTTTATACTTTTGTATATTTTTAATATTGTGTTGGTGGATTAGGTGAAGGTGGGAATAAAATGTATATACTATATTATAAATATTAGAATACCGTTTTTAAATACAGTACTTCCTTGAAAGTTTATTGCTATTCTCACTAACTTTTAGAATTGGTTTTATGGAGTGAATTAATATTGTGTCAAAAATAGATAAATGCATAATGTAACATACAAGACCATACTACATCTATAGTATTTTATTATTGGTGCATTCTTAATTTCATGAAAAGTAAGTGTAAAAAAAAGAACATAAATATATTAAAATGGCCTCATTATATAAGAGCGAGTATATAATATCTCGCGCTTTGTACTTTTTAATTTACATAATTTTAACTTTAATTATAAATCAAAATATTACGATTTTTTTTTATTGGCTTCTTAGTCAGAATTACTTTCCACTTTTTTTTTAAGTCTTTGTTTTATTAAATTTATGAAATATGAATCAGTATTGTTTTCAAAGCAGTGTTTGGTTCTAATTGATTTCTGCAAAAGGTTTTTAGTATACTTTCCCTTCTTGTTAATGCTGGTTTGAACTTTAGATATTGCTTTAGACTGTACATCTTTTTCTGAATTACTTTTCGTATTGCTTATGAAGTCTGAATGTTCTGTCTGTGAAGATGAGTTATTCTCAAAAAATGATTTTCCATTATCATGTAAAATATAATTTTCTAGTGATGTAATTTCATCTGTATCAAATATTTCTTCTTTTTTATCATTTTTTTCATTAACGGATTGTATTTCATCTACAATGAATTCTGTGCTATGTGCTATAGCTATATTTTCATCAGAAGTATCTAAATGTATAGTATCTTTATTAGCAACTCTTCCTCCATGCAAAAATGCAGACATATTTTTTCGTCTCCACATTTTTGAAGTTCTAGGAATAAACTGTTTACATTTTCCCTCAAACAAAAATTCTTTTGTATCAATATTCTTAATTTCTCCTTTTAAAAACTGCAAATACTTCTTTAGAGAGGTAAAAAAGTGTAATTTGTCAGACATTCTCGGAAAATTTGCACAACGAGCACTGCTTGATGGAGTGACCCAAAGTGCAGTATCTCCAATACATTCTGGTTGTAATCCAAAATTGAAATCAGCTGTTTTATTAGCAAAGATTTTATATATACATTTGCCATTAAAAACAGCGATCGTTGGTTTATAAATGTACAGTTTTTCTTTTATCACCTCTGAACCTTTTTCAATTTCTAAACGTTTTAAATCAGCAGATGATCTTGTAGCCCGTTCTACTATATTTGTTAAGCCAATTCCATACTCAAGAAGTTTGTAATCTTCTTCATAAGTTAGGCATCGAGGTGTTAATTTTGATTCATATAAAAGTTTATAAAAGTGATTACCTGGACCTGCATAATATCTACCACGATGTGCGGCCATTAAACTCGGATTTATTCCAACAAAAACCATGTCTAAGTTCATTTCCAAATAATCTGGCAAAGTAAATTTTTGAACTTCTTCCTCTGACAATCCATCAAATCGATCAATTTTCTTTTTTGATTTGTCAAACTTTTCTAAGGGTGTCTTCTTCTTCAACTTATTTAAAGTAAGAGAACTCATTGTTCTGCGTAAAATTATTAACATATTAAGAATCAGTTACTGTTATCGCAAAAAATAACATTCATATTTCCTTAACTATTTCAAAGCACTATTATTTATGTAGCATCCCGACGTCCTTGAATATTCCCGCTATTTTGAATTTGATCATGCTAATGAACTGTAAACTATCTCGAATGACAAATACATTTCATTTAGTGAGATTAACGTATTACTAGAAGACGAATTTTTGTTTATGATTGCGCAGGTTTGTTCTGATTGGTTATACATTCTCCATAATTTAAAACAACTTGCAAGAGTTTGAGACTTCCAATAGGTAATAAAATTTTCGTATCTTGAAATCCTCACTTTTGCGTGTTCTTTAAAATGTATATTTACGCACGTTATATAACTTAGGCTTAAGAAAAAACACGCTGATTTCTCTAAATACAAAATATATTTCCTTCTACTTCTATTGACAACTACTGAATTAGTTTCCTGTGAATCGCGTTCCCTCAAACTGGATCCGTGACTGTCTATCACTATATGTTTGATGCCAATTTTACAAAAGTAAAGTTAATACGAATCTTATTCAGGTTCCAAGCCCAAGAGTGCTACTACAAAAACAATGTCACTATTACCATCTAGCGGCAAGCAATGCTATTAGGAAAATACAAAATTACATTTTCTACGATCTTAATAATACTGAAATAATGTCATTACAATGCACTAAAAGCGTTAGAAATGTAAATAAAAAAAATGAATTTCATTCTCAAGTTTACAATCAACATAAAAACTAATGCACGCATCCTTCGTTGACATAAATAGATCGTGTATATTCCATTTTGTACTTATATTTTACTCGTGCGCTCTCACATATTTTATAATACCTTGCAAGGCATGAACCTTTGAATAATTAAGAGTACATAGTGTTTTACGTGAGAATATTAAACGTAACTTAAAGTAAGTGCATCCATTAGTGAAATTTCTGGGTAGCAGATTTTGATGATAATCTATACCATGTTAATTAAAAACAATAAATGATGGAACAAAGAGAGCACGAATAATAAATTAAAATAAATATTCATTAAAAGGTTGATAATACTTAATACTTCCTGTTTTTGTAGAAAATATGATAATTGACTTCAACATATGGCTTCTTCTTTTACACGAAAAAGGAAAAAAGAAAAGAGAATTGTAGTTGTACTTTCAAATAGAGTGTTCGAAGTAATAATTCATTTAAAGTAAAATTCTTAAAGAATAAAAGTAAGATTGAAATCCTAAAATCAAAAGTAACGTATTATGATAATTTATTTAAAATATAACTCTAAAAACAAGGACTATAATTAAAAAAATGTAGGGAAAAAAATCAAATAGCAATTCATAATAGTAAAAAGACCTTAAATGACTACTCTATGAAACATAACTAAATCATAGACTACTACACCATAAATATATTAATATATCTGTATATTTATATACAATCACATGTCTTAATACACTACCCAGCGCTATGGCACACGAAGAACCACATAAAAACGTATTAATACATACATCCCCGTATATATGCATAAACACGCAACCAAATATAAACTTTGATTTAGAGACTTGCACTAATAAACTAGGTAACATAGAGATAAATACACAAGCAATTAATTGAATTCTTGACACTAATACGTGATAAAAATGTAGATTTGTCCCTAAAAGCTCTGACAAAATTAATTACATGTACCCTTCTTCGCAGACATAGTTAAGAATATTTGTTAATTACTGTGTTAAAATTAATTTTTTTATAATTTTCAATTTTTCAATTATTTATTTATCAAATTATTGTTATATCTATTAAAGTTTATCATTTCTATCATTTTCACGCGTACATATCTTATAAATTATCTATTAAGTATTATATTAAAATTTAATTTATTATAATACTTACTTTGCAATTACTTATTATTGCATTATTGAATTATTGTGACATCTACTACATTCTTTTCTTTTTTCAACTTTCAGACGTGGATCATAAAATTTTTATTAATTATTGTTATATCTATTGAAATTTATTATTTTTATTAACTTTTATATTTATGTACTTTTATGTGATATTAGGAGACAATTATAAATTGTAAATTCATTTTAGCGATAATTTTAATTATTTGAATAAATAATCTTTAAATTAATATCTCATTATAATTTTTTGAAATTATTACATTTACTTTCTCTGAAACAGCGCAATATTTGCATATTTGAGTTTTACTGAATGCATTCAATTGATGAATACAAAATGTTAATCCTTTTTATTGTTTTAAGTAACAAATGTGGATCAGTATTTTCATATTTAATGGCAACCACTAAGATAAGAATAATTTTCTGAGGAATTCAGAAGGATTGAGGTTTTCAAAATATTTTCTATTTTTTAAATTAATTATTTTGCAACGAATGGTAAATTTTTGTTGCAAAATGGGTTAAAATTTCGTAAACTTTTAGGCACCAAATTGGCTTAAATTTTAGAAATAGATTCTTTTTTAATAAATACGCGAGTAGGATATCTAATAACTCTAAAAAAAATGTTACCATATGAATGCCACTCCCTGCTTTATCGGCGTAATATCTGCATCTACTGGTATCTACAATTTCTGTAAAGACATCATAATAGTTATGAATAAGTAGAAATCATCGGTGGACCTAACAAAATTAAATTTCATTGATATCTATGATTTCTATGATTGACATCTAACCTAATCTAATCTAATTCGCTGAAATTAAAGCTTGGATTGTGGTTGTACATACAAAAGTTTTATTGGTAACAGAATATACATATTTAATATCATCAAGTAATTGCACAAATAGATCCTTCCCATTTTTTCTTGTTTGAAAACGCCACAAAAACTCACATATGTGATCAATGAGAGTACCTTTTCCAAACTCTTTTCTACCTCTTCTACTGACAATGAGTCGTGCTTTTAAAGGATGATTCAATATTCTGCGTATAAGCACCGGTTACTGGGTATACGAAATTAATGTTATGGTTTAAAATTTTATAACACAGCCATATTTATTTTTTACGCAAACCGTTCAGCAATCTGTATGTATCCGAACCGGCTGCTATATGTTTTCTAATTAACGAAACGAGAATATCTCTACTTCAAATTTTTAATATAAAATAGAACATAAAAATTAAAAATAAATGTATTGAAAATAACAATAGCCATAAAAATTGTATCTAATATTTATGCTCCTTCACAGGATCGTTCAGCTTTCAAACTTCCTTTGTCCAATTTTGCACTTATTACTTTCAAATATTAAATAATGAAAATCTATCTGCAATTCATTCAATTGAAACTGTTTCGTTTTCAATGATAGAACATTCATAATGAGTCTGATTATCTGAAAATCGCCGTGCAAAAGCATTAGTTATTATTATGCAACTTTGTGCACTTAAATGATAATGCTCGAACCTATCAAAATATTTGCATAATAATTTCATATAAGATAAACAATAGCATCTATAATACAAGCATGCTTTCAAAATAAGATAAATAATAAAAGTAGTATCTGCAATGTACTATATGTATAAAACTGTAATACTGTGGTCATATTTTCCAGATTTGTAACATCGAAAATTGTCTAATCTTTGTGTTGTATTAACGTAAAGTATCTTTCTTTTACTTTTTGCACATTACTTTTCCCTAGGAATTAAATTTAACTCTTGCAGTTATTCCAGCGCTCTTTCATGGTCACTCATTAGCTTTGTAAGAAAATATAAATTAATGTAATTCACTTTATACAATAAACTTACTAGCAAAGTAGCACATTGAACTGAACTAAGTAAGTTTAAATATTGTAATTCTAATATTCTAGATTCTAGATATATCTTTTAAAAAACAATTGAACATAGCAGACTTCATAACATCAGAACCGTTTTCAAATCTGCCTCAATTATTCTTGCCGGTATAATTGCGTCGGTAAAGTAGGAAAGAACATCCAAATGACAAAAAAATTTTTATCGTAAAAAATCCTTTTTGGAATCATTACTTTTATTAAAACGAAACCTATTCTCAAAATATCAGTCAATTTGGAGCATGGAGGTTTTCGAAAGTACAGCTACGAAATGAACCAGCTTGCTTTGAAAATGAAGTATTTATGTAAAAAAATGTCATTATTTATGGATTTTTAGGAATTAGGCATAACACATGTCAATGCTTAAACGCTACGTCAGATTCCTTCCCCTTGGCCGCTGTTTTCCCTAAAGTTAGCACTTGAGTATATCCTTGAACGCAAAAAAACTAACGAATTTTTTGTATGTTTTTTATTCATTATAATTCATCTTCAAATATGATACACAAAAAACGAAATTAACATTAATATAACACTATAGGAACACCTTTCAGCGGTAGATGGTGTTGGCGATGGTGTTGGTAATTTGGACTTGTTTGAATCTGAATAAAGAGCTACATTTATAGATCTCATTAAAGGATAAGTGGGGTTTTCTTGTTCTAACGAATCCTTTAGCGATGCACATTTTCCTTTAAAGTCGTCAGTATCGATACTCCAAACCATAACTCCAGCCAGATTTAAACTCTTCGCGTATTCAACCTAAAATAGATAAGGAAGCATTTAGATTTAAGTGGAGATGTAAAGTATAACTGTTCTTCTTTTGCTGTAATATACGACCTTTGCTTTAAGACTTCTTGGATTATCGTACACGATAACATAATCATCTTTGATCGCATAAGGCGTATTGCTGCTATCATCCCATCCAATTCTCCAATTATTTGAAGTAACTAATTCTTCGCAAATCTGTAAAGATAAAAAGATATTTAAGCACTATTTTATTTTTGCGAGTCAACTATTGACGAAGGAGAAAAATGCACCAAAGTAAAGTAAAGTGTAAAAGAGAAGAATATAAAATTATCAAGTAATTCTGCGATTTGAAAAGACGTTTAAAAAGTGTATCATACTTCGTTGTATCCCATGAAGCCATTTTGACCAGTATAAGAACCATTAAATCCTTCCGATAGACTTCGCTGACCGATAGGACTTTCATCAGAAGAATTTAATTTGCTGGCCAGTATAAAGGTCCTTCCATACATAGGCAAACCAAGCACTAGTTTATTAGCAGGCGCACCTTTATTTAATAGGTAGTTCATTGTATCTTTCTAAAAAAATCAAGTTTGAATTATGTTGCTTGCATAGTATCTTTTTTTCAATTGTGTTTCAGCTATCTAACCACACTATCCAGTGGCGAATTCGGAAGCACTTTATTATCCCACGTCCCGTGATAGTCGTAAGCCATTACATGAATGTGATCAAGATAGAGCGAAAGTTCAGGAATATTATATGCTGTGTCGATGGTGCCTTTGTTGGCAGTTATAGCTGCCGTTAATAAATAGTTTGATTTTTGAAACGCTTCTTTGAGTTCCTGTTAAAGTATGGTGTTTTACGTTAACTGATAACAGAATCGTAATCTTGGAATTTGGAATATTTATTATTATTTCATGTATTTACTTTTACGAGAGAAACGAAGTTTTCTTTATCCGCTGGAACTCCTCCACGTGAACCAGGAAACTCCCAGTCCAGATCGAATCCGTTGAAGTCATACTTCCTGTACGAAATAAAATTTTTCCTTAGGAAAAATTACTAAAAGCAAAAACAAATTGGTTTCTGTTTTGATTCGGTACCTCAGGTAATACACCACGCTGTCGATAAATCTGCTTCTTCGCTCGGGAGACGAAGCGAGCTCGGAATAATTTTTACTACCTTCATTCCAACCACCGATAGCAAGAAGGACATTTAAATCGGGATACTTGTGGCGAAGTTGAGTCATCTTTTTGTAATTGCCGATACCTAACGAATTTACGAATATTTAATTCACGTTGCGTATTATTGATGAAGCTAATCATTTGGGCAGGTATTGTTATTTCTGATTATTCAAGAAATTTACAGAGTACGTATTTACCATTCTCAATATCCATATAAGGATCAAGACTCCTAATAGTCCAAGTTGTGTCGTTCAATCCGGCGAATGCATATACAAGATGCGTACAAAGATTCGGGTTGAGATCATCGATTCCAAATTTGCCATTTTGTGGTCTGTAAATGGCCCAGGAAGCGACATAACAGGTTACAACCTTGTCACGCGTAGACCTTATCAAAGCTCAGAAAAAGAAAAAGACATCAATTATATAATTATCGAAAATCCGGGTTTGATATAGTGCGAGTTATTTAACGAACATTCAACGAAAATTTTCTGGGTATTGTAAAATGAACGATATATGCTTAATTGAATGTATTGAATAATTCCAAGTAAAGTTATAGTAAAGATGCGTCAAAATGCTAGACTTGCGTTGCGGAGTCTATCGAAGAAAATGTCAAATGCATTCCATACTTTCTCTTATCCTGCTACTGGCATCACGCGACGTACAAGGATGCAAGTATTTTTGCAAAAAATCGCGACAGTGTTAGTTACTTCAATATAAGAAAGAAGTACATTTTTAAATAATATTTCAGTTGTAGAAATTATAAAAGTAGCTTTGGTTTATAATTTTCTATTATTTTTGACATTACAAAATAAACATAAGGTGTCCTATTTTCCAAATTTCTCTATTATTTTTGTTTTTATTTCAATAAATATGGATAAATAATCAATAAATAATAATGGAATAATCGAATATTAAAATAATAAATTGTTTGTCATTTATTTTTTAAATTTAAGTTAAATCCTGTGATAATAACACGATAAACAAATTACATTAATTCGGGTAAAATATGTATGTACTTACATGTAATGTCATCGATATTCGAAAATAATAATGTAAGCAGAAAGAAAAATGTATACGTCTTCATTGTAAGATAGCAACTACGCGAATGCGAAGTCGTAGTGTCCTGGTAGTATCTATATATAAGATAGCTTTCACTCCGCGTGAACCCACCGCCCACAAAGAGAGACTACCATACGGTACTTTGGACAAGACAACCAGTTGCGATTGTGGTATAAAAGAAGACAGAGCTAAAACCTGTTGCTAACAATTTTAATTCTTACACGATGAAACCGTAGTCTGTGATGCACGTTTAGTGGTCGCATATTTTGCTCACTTAGTAGTCGCGAGTTGTCCCCGCCAGTTCTTGCGTTAGAATTACTTTATGCACTACTTATATGAATCATAAGAATAAGAAATATAGAAATTTTATATCTATCACTTTGTAACGACCAGATTAGTTTTATCTAATCGATAGACTTCGCACTACGAAAATGATACTAAGTACGAATACACTTAAATAATTTTGTCTTACTCGAGTTATAATGCGTATTTAAATATCTATATATGATGATGAAAGTAATAATAAAAATACACATACATGATATGGACATAGCATGAAATGAAACCGAATTAGCAATTGTAATCAGCATAAAAGAAGGTGAATATGTAAGACACAATAAAAATACAATATCATATATAAAAACAAGAAAAATTACTAAAATGAAATATATTACATTATACGCTATAGATTGTTCAGCATAACAATCTTTTTTTGTAAAGCTTTATTGTTTCTTATACCTAGTATAATAGTTTACAAATGTGTATTATAAACACAATTTCTTATTTCATCCTACTGTAAAAAGAACATTTCAATTTATCTCAGTTCTTACTGTACATGACTTTTCCTCTGTCTCCCTAATACTAGTCGACGGGGAGTGAGCAAATGAAACATGAGTCGAACGTTTCCTGGAATAAAAACGCATACTTGCACGGCTTGTTATCGCGTTCCGGTCCCGTCGTTTTAGGAACTACGTCAGAATGTAAGTTAATATTTTTTTTATAATTGAGTTTTACATAAAAATGTACGTTTCTAATGAAAGTAATACAAAGATTTAATATATAAAACAAAGCTAAAAGGCCGTAGCTAATTGTAAAGTAAATAATTTAAAAAGAAAAGTATTTTGAAAGCCACATTCTTACATATATTTTAAAATTTATATTTTTATGCGAGATCAGAAGACCTATATGAAGCTAGTCGGAAGAAATACCAAAATATGATTATTTTTAATTTTCCGTAATATATTTCGTTTGTAAATCGTTTGATTTGATTGTGAGTATATTTTTAACGTTTGTGACAAATTAGTTCTTTCTAATTAGCAACTTTATTTCAGTCGTGATATCAGATAGAACTTTTTAGTAATTTTTTATAAGAAATAAATTTTGTGATAACAGATAACTACAATTGATCGTAAATCGCTTGTGATTTACAAATGTATCATTTTCACTGTTTGTGAGTGAATAATTTTTTAATTATTTAGAAGTTTGTTTTATAATAAATAATTCTAGTACGCATGCGCAAAATATACTGAGAACTCTTGCCAACAGAGAGCGCACCGACGCGTTACGCATGGCGGAAACCATTTAAATTTTCTAACAAGGGACCATCCCGAAGTGATAATCTCCGATTTTGATGAAACTTGGATATAATGTAGTTCTCGAAAAAATATTTGACACGTATTTTTTTTTAGCTGCCATCATTCATGTTAAGGGGGTGAAAATAGCCCTCAAAGTGGGGGGTGAAAATCACGTTTTGTGGAATATCTCGGGAACCAGTAGAGCTAGAGGGATGGTTTAAATTGCAAAGTTGTGTATTTTTTAATGCGGAATCCAACTGTGCAAATGGATTTTAAAAAATCGCATTTGTTTAAAAAATATATTAAAAAATGACACTTTTTTGTCAATTTTTCTATTTAAAAGTTGTTGTATCTTCTCGTAATTTTTTATGTGAGAAGTATACTAGTAAGTATAAAATACGGATAAAATGGAATTTTCATTTTTACATTGTAAATATAGTTAATGAAGTTGTATTTTTTTCGTACTTTTTCGGGACGCAGTCCTCGAATGTACATATATAATCAAGTACGTAAAGAGCTTCTATGTCTTTACTGGTAACTGTATTACAGTGAACTTGACAAATTTTTTCAATTGGGATCAGTATTACCGTCCCAGGTATAAGAGTTAGCCGGCGATGACCGCTAAGGTTTTCCCGCGCGGTCACAAGGCTTTTATTGAGGGGGCTATTGCACCCAACTTTTTTCAAGATTTTGGCAATTGAAACCAAGTTGTTCCACGTTTATAAATATATGGTAGCTCTGAAAAGAGCTGGTGTTACTATTCATGTGTGCAGCATTTAACTGCGAATAAAAATGATTTCGGTCTCCTTTTATACCTTCCTAGAAAAGATGTTCGGCTCCAAGCAAGTTTCTGATTGGTTGAAGCTCTTGGAGTAGGGATTGAAAATTATGGCAAACGTATAAAAAGTCTCTCATTAGCTCCACCGATAATACTTTTCTTAACATAAGGCGTAGGCGCAGTTCAGCTGTACGGACTACGATTATTATTGGAGCGACATTTAATTGACTATAGGTATTCATCCTGCAGTTATTTTTGCAGCTCTCTGACCCACTAGGATACGGTATTTATGTTCATTTTATCATAACATTCATATATTGCAAGCGTTACAAATATTTTTCATAATATTTGTTCAATATTTTAAATTTTGTATACATTTGTATAATACATTTCACGTATTTCTTTGTGTAGTT